GATGACTGTTAGTGTATCCTCTTTCCTGGTGCCAATGACAGGGTCCTGAGAAGAGCAGCCAGCATTACTCCTTTAGTCTCCCAACACGGGCTAAACAACTACCCTTGCTTAACCCCTTACTATGTGGTCCTGGGCAAGTTTCTTTTTTTTTTTTCTATTGAGACAGAGTCTTGCTCTGTCACCAGGCTGGAGTGCTGCAGCACGATCTCAGCTCACTGCAACTTCTGTCTCCCAGGTTCAAGCAATTCTCCTACCTCAGCCTCCTGAGTAGCTTGCACCACCATACCCGGCTAATTTTTGTATTTTTAGTAGACGGGGTTTCGCCATGTTGGCCAGTCTGGTCTCGATCTCCTGACCTTGTGATCCGCCCACCTCGGGCTCCCAAAGTCCTGGGATTACAGGCGTGAGCCACCACGCCCTGCCGGTCCTAGGCAAGATTCTTATCTTCTTTTTTTTTTTTTTAGACGGAGTTTCACTTCTGTTACCCAGGCTGGAGTGCAATGGCGCGATCTCGGCTCACCGCAACCTCCGCCTCCTGGGTTCAGGCAATTCTCCTGCCTTAGCCTCCCAAGTAGCTGGGATTACAGGTGCGCGCCACCATGCCCAGCTAATTTTTTGTATTTTTAGTAGAGACGGGATTCACCATGTTGACTAGGATGGTCTCGATCTCTTGACCTTGTGATCCACCCATCTCGGCCTCCCAAAGTGCTGGGATTACAGGCGTGAGCCACCGCGCCCGGCCTTCTTATCTTCTTTGTGCCTCAATATTCTGAGCTATAAAATGGGCACGAGCCTAGTGAGCCTTCATAGGTTTGTGGTGAGGAATACATTAGTTAACACAAGTTAACTGTTCAAACCTTGCCTGTCAGATAGTAGGCACTTATAGCTGCTTGTTATCATCATTTTTCCTTTGTTCTTGGCTCTGTACAGGGTATGGGTGACAGAGAAATGAATCAGCCTTAGTCCCTACTTGGGCTGCATTCATGTCCTAGTGAAGGAGACAAACCCTGGATGGAGGTACCTGCTTGTAGTCCTACCTACTCACAAGGTTGAGGCAGGAAGATCACTTGAGTTCAGGAGTTCAAGGCTACAGTGAGCTGTGATAGCACCACTGCACTTTAGCCTGGGTGATAGAGACCTTGTCAAAAAAAAAAACAAACCCAGGGATAGTGGAGGGAGGAAGGTTAGGGGAGTGGGGAATACAGTTGGTGAGTATTGTTTAGGCAACCAAGAGAGAACTTGATGAGGGAAGTGGGTTTTGACCTGTGCCTGGAAGGTGAGATGCAATTTTGACATTAGGAAAGAATGGACTAGACCAAAAGTGCTGTGTGTGGTCAGGACACAGAGCAGGATGGAGATGAGACTGGAAAAAGAGCTCATCACTTTGGGAACCTTAGTCTATCTGACAGCCAGCAGCTCTCTTTCCCCATATGGGTCTACAGCTCTTCCTCCACTCTAGCTGAAATGCCTTCATTAGAGATGATCTCAGCCAATGAATATGTACTAGTCACCTGCTGTGTGCAAACAGCCCTGTTCAAAATAGAAATCTGCCCTGGAGGCTTCTGGTTATCAGTCATTCCATCTGGCTACCAATGCATTTCAATGGCTAGTGACTTCCTAATGCCTAGTTGAATTATGCTTTGAGAAATGGGAATTTTTATTCTAGAAAAGGGTAGTCCAGGCACAGTGGCTCATGCCTGTAATCCTAGCACTTTGGGACGCCAATGCGGGCAGGTCATGAGGTCAGGAGTTAGAGATCAGCCTGGCCAACATGGTGAAACCATCTCTACTAAAAATACAAAAATTAGCCAGGTGTGGTGGCACGTGCCTGTAGTCCCAGCTACTTGGGAGGCTGAGGCAGGAGAATCACTTGAACCGGGAGGTGGAGGCTGCTGCGAACCGAGATTGTGCCACTGCACTCCAGCCTGGGTGACAGAGTGAGACTCCATCCCAAAAAAAAAAAGACTGGAGACCTGGATCCAAGATGGTCGATCACTAACATCCCGGGATTGCAGCTCTCAGGGAAGGCGCGGAGAACTAGAGGATGCCACACTTTCAGACAAATTCTGGTCGCTCAGGGAGCAGAAGATCCCCAGTGGAGGAAACACACGGGTGGCCAGCGCGACTCTTGTGACTGGCGCAGCGGTTCCGCCGGCACCTTGGCGTGGCAGCTCTCGGAGCAGAGTAAACAGGTTTGGAGGACCTGCACGGGTCCCCAGCAGGACACCAGAGCCCGGCAGCGGCTGTGACGGCACCTCAGCGTGGCAGCGTTCAGCGCAGAGTAAACGGGACCGGCTCCCCTTCTGACCGAGGTTTGGAGCCCCGGGAAGGCAGAGTCGCCTACTACGGACACAAGAAGGAAGCCAGACAGGAGAATCCTGGGCAGAAAAGCACCATCAGTTTTAATGCTGCGGCTCTGGCCCTGGGAACTAACAACCTGGACGCCCACTCAAGAGACCTAATCTGAAAGTTGGTAAATTCAAAGACGACAGGAGGATAAATTTACAATGACGGGAAGAAACCAGCGTAAAAAACCTGAGAATACTCAAAGTCAGAACGCCTCTCCCTCTAAAGATGATCACAGTTCCACATCAACAATGGAACAAGGCTTGACGGAGAATGAGCGCATCCCAATGACAGAATCACTCTTCAAGGAACGGATAATAACAAACTTCGGTGAGTTAAAAGAACATGTTGTAGCCCAAAGTAAAGAAACTAGGAACTCTGAAAAAAGGTTTGATGAAATCCTATTGAGAATAGACAACTTAGAGAGGAGTATGAGTGAATTAATGGAACTGAAGAATACAATAACAGGAACTCCGAGAAGTATGCACAGGTTTAAACACTTGAATTGTTCAAGCAGAAGAAGGGATATCAGAGATCAAAGTCCAACTTAATGAAATAAAACGTGAAGAAAAGATTAGAGAAAAAAGGATAAAAAGGAATGAGCAAAGTCTCCAAGAAATGTGGGACTATGTGAAAAGACCAAATCTACGTTTGATAGGTGTACCTGAATGTGACAGAGAGAATGAATCCAAGCTGGAAAATACCCTTCAGGATATTATTCAGGAAAATTTTCCTAAACTAGCAGAGCAGGTCAACATTCAACCCCAGGTAATACAGAGAACACCACAAAGATATTCCTCAAGAAGAGCAACCCCAAGGCACATAATCGTTAGATTCACCAGGGTTGAAACGAAGGAGAAAATACTAAGGGCAGCCAGAGAGAAAGGTCAGGTTACCCACAAAGGCAAGCCTATCAGACTTACAGCAGAACTCTCAACAGAAACTCTACAAGCCAGAAGAGAGTGGGGGCCAATATTCAACATCCTCAAAGAACAAAACCTTCAGCCCAGAATTTCATATCCAGCCAAACTAAGCTTCACAACTGAAGGAAAAATAAAACCTTTTATGAACAAGCAAGAACTCGGAGATTTTATTATCACCAGGCCTGCTTTACAAGAGCTTCTGAAAGAAGCATTACACACAGAAAGAAACAACCAGTATTAGCCTTTCTAAAAATACACCAAAAAGTAAAGAGCACCAACATAAAGAAGAATTTACACCAACGAATGGATAAAACAGCGAGTCAACATCAAATGGCAGTAACCCTAAATTTAAATCGACTAAATCCCCCAATCAAAAGACACAGTCAAAACCCAATGGCATGTTACATCCAGACCTGTTTCACATGCAAGGATACACAAAGACTCAAAACAAAGGGATGGAGAAAGATTTACCAACCAAATGGAGAGCAAAAATAAATAATAAATAAATAAAAAGCAGGAGTTGCAATTCTCGTATCGGATAAAATAGATTTTAAAGCAACAAAGATATAGTGGTAAAAGGATCAATGCAACAACAAGAGCTAACGATCCTAACACCCAGATACGAGACTTAGATTCAATGAGACAGAAAATTAATAAGGATATCAAGGACTCAAACTCAGATACGGAACAAGTAAACTTAATAAATATTTATAGAGCTCTCCACTTCAAATACACAAAATATACATTGTTATCAATACCACATCACACCTACCCATAAATTTAAATGAAACATTGATTGGCCATTATTAATACCCAATTTTTTTCAGAATAAAGCAATATTTCCGTTTACTCTCCCTCTTTCTTCCTCTCCTTTACTTATTTTTTTTTCTTTCCTTCTCTCAAAAAAAAGAAATCAACTTGTAAACCTCTTGATCCAGGTCGGCAATGTCTCTCTCATTGCTTGATTTCCTTCCTTCCCTTCCCTCCCTCCCTCCCCTCTTCCTCCCTTCCTTCCTTCCTTCATCCCTACCTTCCTCCCTTCTGTCCTCTTTCCCTCCCTTCCTGCCTTCCTCCCCCCCCCCAAAAAAAAGCAAACAAACAAACAAACAAACTTCCTTCCTGTGCATGTAGCTGTCCAGAGGTGGTAGGTGGCTCTCTATGTGTGAGGCCTGCTGGGGCCCAGGGCTCCCTTGCCTTTTTGCTTAGTCATTCCTGGATGTTGGCCTTGTTTGTGTGATTGAAGTTGGTTCACTAACTTCAAATTCATTCCTGTCAAAATTGTACCTAGGCTGGACATGGTGGCTCACACCTGTAATCCCAGTACTTCGGGAGGCCAAGGTGGGAGAATTGCTTGAGACCAGTCTGGGCAACATAGAGACACCCTCTCTACAAAAAAAAAAAAAAAGAAGAAAGAAAGAAAGAAAAGAAAAAGAAAGATTTGTACCTGACTTTCCAGGCACAGATAAAAACTGACTTCCTTTGTGAAGCCCCTGCTCCCTGTAGTTGTCTAATCAGTACCTACCACCCTGATTCCCACTTCCTTAACCTTCCTCCCTCCACTACCCCTGGCCTTCTTGTTTGCTAACAGAACTACCATTTTTTTGTTAATTATTTTTCTTATTCCTTTAAATGTTGAGTGTTTGTCTTTTTCTGATTCAATTGCCAAGCTCTTTATATATTAAGATATTAACTAAGGTAATATTTAGTACTGATTATTGTTATTCCTCGAAGGAAAGCCATGGAGACTTCAGGATCCTCCTCCCAGCCTCAAGACAACAGTCAAGTCCACAGAGAAACAGAAGATCTGGACTGTATGTTTGCCTTCTCTGATCCTCTGGGCAAAGCCACATGGGAGGTAGTAGAAGGGACAGAAGAAGACCCTGCTCAGCTCATGTTGCACAGGGCCTCAAATCACAGTTGAAATGGAGAAGTGATTTTACACACATCCACACACACATGTGCATGGTCCAGTCTGTCCTCCTGTGCTGTCTAGCTATGGGGACCCTCAGCTGCTCACCAAATCTCAAGAATACTCTGGGGCTTGGGCTGACACTAGGGAGCACCCCCAGAAGGTGGAGGGGGGTGTTGTGTGACCCCAGAATGGGGAATGGGAAGGTTTAGGGCTTGATAACACACCATCTTGACTGTAATTGACAGAGGATTCTAAATTGGCAACTACAGAGTCTAGCTGTCTCTGGACAGGGTAGGGAGCTTAGAAACCCCTTTTCTGGAATCCATATGCAGATAAATCTCTGTACTGAGCCTTCCTTGAGCCCTGGCGTCTCTGAGAGCCTTGGTCTCCTGCATGTTGCATTGGCCCTTGATGTCTGGGAAGATAAGCCAGTCCTTCTTGGCTCCCCAAGTCCAAGTAGAACCCTGGAGAGGGCTGGGTGGTGCCTGGGGTGGGAAGGATGGGAAACGCTCACCCCCTGGCCTCTGTGTGCCTTGCAGATGGAGAGACAGATTTCCACAAGCAAGATGGGAAGGCTGGACTCTTTTCCCAAGAACAGTATGAGAGAGACAAGTCTTCTTCCTCTTCTTCCTCCTCCTCCTCATCTTCCTCTTCCTCCTCCTCCTCCTCTTCAGGTACCAAATATTTAAATATGTGTATATTATACAAGAAAAACATTTACATGGGGAAACAACCCCCCATACTTCAGGTCATTGAAGTACTTGAAACTCTAATATTGTTTCTTCACATTCTCTTCTAGAGCCCATCTGTCTACTTCTATGTACACAGTTACAATTGATCATATAGGCAATTTGTTCTCCATTTAAAATGTTCTCCATCTTATCCCAAGCTTTTTGTCATGTTATCCTGTAATACCCCTGTAGCTATTTTTAATGTTTACCAAACAGCCCCTCAAGTGGCTGCATCTCCTGTAAAGTAACCTTTAGGTTTATTAGGGGCACCCCAGTGCCATAGTCGAAGCATGTGTTGCAGGTTTAAATCCTGTCTTTGCCACTAACTAGCTACATGTCCTTGGGTCAACTGCTCGACCCCTGGCTGCCTCAATGCCCTCTTCTATAAGATGGGGATGATAGCAATACTTAACACCTCATGGGATTCTTGTTAGGATTAAATCTGTTATACAGGTAAAGTCTTAGCACGCAGACCATAGTAAAAGCTCTGAAAATAATTGTCGTGTTATGATCTTTCCCCTCCCAGCTTTATCATGCTCATGAGTGTCCTTGTACAAAAGCTTTTGTCTTTTGAATTTTTGTACAACTCATGTCCTAAGTATTGATTCCCTACAAATAAGTACTTTAGTAGGTTTAAAGGAATGACATCTCCAAAATCAACTTTTTTTTTGAGACAGAGTCTCATTCTGTCACCAGGTGCCTGGCTGGAGTGCGGTGGCACAGTCTTGGCTCACTGCAACCTCTGCCTTCCGGATTCAAGCAATTCTCCTGCCTCAGCCTCCTGAGTAGCTGGGATTATAGGCACAGGCCACCAGGCCCAGCTAATTTTTGTTATTTTTTAGTAGAGACGAGGTTTCACCATGTTGGCCAGGATGGTCTCAATCTCTTGACCTCGTGATCTGCCTGCCTCAGCCTCCCAGAGTGCTGGGATTACAGGCATGAGCCACCATGCCCAGCCTCTTTTTTTTTTTTTTCTTTTTGTCATCCAGGCTGAAGTACAGTGGGGCAATCTCAGTTCACTGCAACCTCTGCCTCCTGGGCTCAAGTGATTCTCCTGCCTCAGCCTCCTGAGTAGCTGGGATTATAGGCACCTGCCACCGTGCCTAGCTAATTTTTGTATTTTTAGTGGAGACAGGGTTTCTCCATGTGGGCCAGGCTGGTCTTGAACTCCTGACCTCAGGTGATCTGCCTGCCTTGGCCTCCCAAAGTGCTGGAATTACAGGCATGAGCCACCGTGCCTGACCTCTAATAGCTTCTTGATTACAAATAACCACATTATTCTCCAAGAAACAGTAGAATGTTCTTTCATTTGTATTTTTTTAATTCAAAATATAAGGCTGAATTTATAGGAGTAGAAGCAGTCACATTTATTGAGTGCTTACTCTGTGCTGGGAACTGTTCTAAGCATTTGCCTATAATAACTTAATTCTCGCTGGGGGCGGTGGCTCAAGCCTGTAATCCCAGCACTTTGGGAGGCCAAGGTGCATGGATCACAAGGTCAAGAGATCGAGACCATCCAGGTCAACATGGTGAAACGCCGTCTCTACTAAAAATACAAAAAAAAAAAAATTAGCTGGGCATGGTGGAGCGTGCCTGTAATCCCAGGTACTCAGGAGGCTGAGGCAGGAGAACTGCCTGAACCCAGGAGGCGGAGGTTGCGGTGAGCTGAGATTGCGCCACTGCACTCCAGCCTGGGTAACGAGAGCGAAACTCCGTCTCAAAATAAATAAATAAATAAAATAACTCAATTCTCACAGCAACCCATAAAGGAAGATACTAATATTTCAATTTTGCAGGTAAGAAAACTGAGGCACAGAGAGGCCAACTGACCTGCTGTAAGAGGGCTTAGTAGCCAGCATGGCAGGTCCTTGTGGGATCTGGGAGGCTAACCCTCCTCAGCCAGAGCTCCTGCACTATGATCTATTTTATGCCGTGGGCTTGGCTTTAAGATTTTATTTGATGAAAGGTTCCCTGGGCTGAAAGGAAAAAAAAAAAAAAAAAAAAAAAGCCCTGGTCTTAGGTCCTCATGTTGCAAATGCTGAGACCGAGGCCCAAAGCCACAGAATCAATGATCATTTCAGCAGAGGTGGGAGAGTGGTCAGTGGGCCCCATGGGTCTGTTTGTAGTCAGTCTCCTCATGGCACTGGAAAGGAAGCCACCTCCCCATTTAAAAACAAAAAACGAGAAAACACACAAGCCCACCACATACCAGGTTTGGCTCTGGCAGAAGGGCTTTCAGGTGCAGGGGAGAGGGCTGTTGCCTGTCCCTCTGTTTCTCCTCCCTGGGCAGGAGGAGTGTTCTGTCCTCTGGTTCTGGTTGTCCCTCAAGGAGTGATGCTCCTCCCCAAATGTCTCCCATGTGACCATAATCCCTGGCACCCAGGCACCCTGGAGTCTCCACCTCACACATGGGACCGGCTGAAACTAGCCAAATGGAACACTGCCAGAACATGACTGCCTGTTTTTCAGGCCTGGATGGTGACCCGTTACCCTAGGGGCCCCAAGCCTGGGTGCCTCACTGTAGCCCCGCCATCCTCACATGCAGGAGCCTTGCTCATAGTCACAGAGTCTCTCTCCCACATAACATGTTGCAATCCAGTTATTTTTAGTTGAAGTTTTGTTTTCAACTGTAAAAGATTACACATAGGCACATTATGGAAAATATAGAGCATACAGGGGAAAGAAATAGGAGAAAATAAGTCACCCTTTGCTCTCTTACCCAGAAATAACCACCCAAAACATATTAATGTATTCCTTACATTTATTTAACAAATATTTACGGAGCACCAAATATGTGCCAGTCTTTGTGGTAGGTACTAGGGACAATAGCAATGAGCAGCGAGTCTTTCTGCCACGGCTAATTTTTTTTTTTTTTTTAATTTATAAAGAAAAGAGGCCAGGCACAGTGGCTTACTCCTGCAAACCCAGCACTTTGGGAGGCCAAGGTAGGCAGATCACCTGAGGTCAGGAGTTCAAGACCAGCTTGGCCAACATGGCGAAACCCCCATCTCTACTAAAAGTGCAAAAAGTAGTCAGGTGTGGTGGCAGGCGCCTATAATCCTAGCTACTTGGAGGCTGAGGCAGGAGAACAGCTTAAGCCTGGGGAGGCAAAGGTTGCAGTGAGCCGAGATCACGCCACTGCCCTCCAGCCTGGGTCACAGAGTGAGACTCTGTTTCAAAAAAAAAGAAAAGAAAAGAGATGTATTTAGCTCACAGTTCTGCAGGCTGGGTATTTTTTTTTAAATAACTGAATTAGAGAGCATACACAAAAATGGCCCTCATTTTAAACAGCATATATTCCATAATACCTTTTATAAAAATATTTGTATTAGGTAGCTCATGCCTGTAACTCCAGCACTTTGGGAAGTCAAGGCTGGTGGATCACTTGAGTCCAGGAGTTCAAGACCAGCCTGGGCAACATGGCAAAACCCCATCTCTACTAAAATACAAAAAATCAGCTGGGTATGGTGGCACATACCTGTAATCCCAGCTACTCAGTACGCTGGGGCATGAGGATCTCTTGAGCCCAGGAGGTCAAGGCTACAGTGAGCCCTGATTGTACCACTGTACTCCAGCCCGGGTGACAGAGTGAGACCCTGCCTCCAAAAAAAAATTGTGTTATGAATATATAACAGAGAAAGCTAAAACAATGTTCATTCACACGTTGATGGCAGTTGTCTCTAGCTGATAAAATTTGGAGTAATTGCCAGGTGCGGTGGCATATGCCTGTAATTCCAGCACTTTGGGAGGCCAAGGCAGGTGGATCACCTGAGGTCAAGAGTTCACAACCAGCTTGACTAACGTGGTGAAACCCCAACTCTACTAAATACAAAAAAAAAATTCGTCAGGCATGGTGGTGCATGCCTGTAATCTGAGCTACTTGGGAGGCTGAGACAGGAGAATCTCTTGTACCTGGGAGGCAGAGGTTGCAGTGAGCTGAGTTCATGCTATCGCACTCCAGCCTGGGCAACAAAAGTCAAACTTTGTCTCAGAAAAAAAAAAAACTAGAGTAATTTTTATTTTATTTTCTGTATTTCTTTATTTTGTAACATGCATTATCTTTTTAGCAATAAATTATTTTTTGTTCTCATGAATATTTGTAAATATAGAAAAGAAAAAAATGGAAGTCACCCAAAATCCTCCCTCCTGAGATAAACACCACTGTTGTTATTTTGTTGAGCTTCCTAATCCCTCTTCCTACATATCCAGTTGAGATCACAGATGCACTGATGTTTAAGCACAAAGTGTGGTCTGGTTTCCTGGAATTTTAAAAACTTACCCACGACTGACCAGGAGGTCCCCACAGTCCTGTTTGGGGATGAAGGAGTCCTTTGGACCTGGAGCCAGAAACTCCTAGACCTGAATTCTCGGAATGCTGACTGGCCAAAGAGCACAAATGATAACTGTTTTTCAAGTCTTGATCAAGCTCCTGTTCCCAGCTGGACACCTTTGCAGGGTGGAGAAGCCAGGACATGTCCTTCAGGAGAGGAAATGATTGGGGAGAGGCACACCACAAGGCCTCTGGCCCTCATGTCCACCGAGTCAAGTACAGACAGTTGGAGCTATAGAAATCCCAGTGGGGAAAGGCAAGACCAGTGTGAGCTGGGGCAGTTGGCAAAGTCTTTCTACAGGAGGTGTGATATCAGCTTAAGCTTCTCAATAAGACAGACAAACAGGAAGGATATTCCAGGGGGGTGGGAGACACAGCAAACATCCAAAGCCAGCATGATGAGTGGGGAAAGAGAGATGACATGGCCCCTGCACTTGGTGGGATGGAAGCCATCTTAGTACTATGATGCCTCATGGGACCTTGTCTTATCTTCACAGAAATCTTATGAAGTAGGCAAGGCAGCAGCAGAAATATTACGTAGACACAAAATTAACAGAAATATTGGAGGATTTGTCCAAAGTCACACAGAAAGTGAGTGGTGGGTCTTCTACTTCCAGTCCCCAAATAAGAGTTCCTGCCACCAAACCACACTCTTTGCATAAAGTAAGTTCTGAGAATGGCCACGAGAATGAATGCATTCCCAGCTCAGTCCAGGCTGAGCTTCTCCTACAGCTTGTGTTTATTCCCTGCAGAGAGCAGTGATGAGGACCAGAACCCCAGAACAAATGGAAAACATTGACAGAGACGGGGGGCAGGACACCCCCACGGGAACAGCTCACCCGGTAGGCAATAGGCCTTACCATTTTTCTTTCGCCCACTCGCTCACTGTTGAGTTTCTCAGTGGGGCTGAGCCTGCCTGTGTGAAGATGTTCTTCACAGCATTGTTTACAGCAGGATAAAATAGGAAGTAGCCTGGCAGCAGCAGACTAGATAAAGGATGCTACACTCTGTCCTGGTGACAGCTCTGCTCTTCATCTATCACTGAAGTGAGAAAGAAACATGCCAAATCACAGAATTAATTCAATCTCATATATGATTTATAAAAATTCAGACATATATGGTTATAATCAAGACTGAAAGGAAAAATGCCAAAATGTTAATAGTGGTTATCTCAGGGCAGTGGAATTGTAAGTGATTTTTATTTTCTCTTTTTTGAACTGTCCTATGTTATAAATAATTTACAATGAGCATGTTTCATTTTATTTTATTTTATTGAGACAGAGTTTTGCTCTTGTTGCCCAGGCTGGAGTGCAATGGTGCCATCTTGGCTGATCACAATCTCCACCTCCCGGATTCAAGCCATTCTCCTGCCTCAGCCTCCCAAATAGCTGGGATTACAGACATGCGCCACCACACCTGGATAATTTTTAGTAGAGACAAGATTTCTCCATGTAGGACAGGCTGATCTTGAACTCCCGACCTCAGATGATCCACCTGCCTCAGGCTCCCAAAGTGCTGGGATTATAGGCGTGAGCCACCACGCCTGGCTGAGCATGGTCTATTTTTACGACCAGAAGGAAATAATTTTTGCAAAAGAAATGATGAATTTTGTAGGAAGGAAAGAACACACGGAAAAGAGCTGAATTATTGCCTAGTACGGAACCTGGCACACAGAAGGTGTTTAATAAATGCTGCCCATAAGGCTAGAGCTGAGCTCCCGGTTTTATTTCTGAACACAAGATTAGAAATGCAGGCTTTTGGCAACAGACCTGGTGGTGTTGCCACTTACTAGCTATGTGACTTTGGGAAAATAATTTAGCTTTTTGAGCCTCAGTGTCCTTATCTGTATAATGGGTGGGGTAGGTACTAATACCTTCTTCATAGGATGTCCGTGAGGAGCAAATGAAGTATTAAATATGAATAACTTAGTACAGTGTTGGTGCATGCTAGTGCCCAATAGATTACCCTCTATTAACCTGAGCAAGGTCCAGGTCCTCTCAGGTCTTGAGTGCTTTCTGAATGTGGTCACCTCTGGAAGTTCTGGGGGCATCAGAGAGTGCAAAGGAAAGGTACTTGTGCTGCCTTGCCTCTTGAAGACCATCCCCCACCTCACCTCCAGCACAAGGAGTGTGGTACTTCTTAAGCTTCAAAGTCATGGGAGATGGAAGAGGCCGGGTCACTGTGTTTGGGGAGTGCTGATTAAGGGGTTTGTCTCCATCCAGGTCCTGGCCATGGGGAGCCTGACATTTTGACGAATGAGCTTCAACTCTATGGAGGTAATCAGATGCCCAGTGGCTTTGGAGAAAACAGTCAGATGAAAGAAAGGAGGGCTTTGTTGGTCAGAAACAAGGTCATGAAGATGTTTCATGAGCTGAAAAGTCCCAGGCAAATACAGGAGATGTGGCGAGCTGGGTGATTATAACATTGGCAGATGGGGGTGGGGGTACTTTCTGCCATGAGACTATCTTGAGGAAATCCTGCATTTCCTTCTGAGCTATAACCTTCACTTATGGGGTGACCATGAAGAGTCACCCACCTTTCTGGGCCTCAGCTCCTTAACCAGCAGAATGGGACATGATTGGTACCCCCTCTCTTGGAATACTGGGCTATCTCAACACCAAGGAAAAATTAAGGATCTGATCTCCACAATACCCATTTTACAGTACAATCATTTCTGACACCCTGATTACTACAATGAGGAGGCGTAAACATGGCACTCTGGTTGGTAGCACTAGGATGAACTTGTAGAATGAACTCTTTTGCCAAAGAACATGACAAATGCACACTATCAGATAAGAAAGCCTTTATATCTGTGTTTAATCCAGCATTTCCAAAATCTACATAGTCTCCTAATGCCAGGTAATAACCTAAGTAAAACTGGAACACACTTACGTACATGCTAAAGAAAAGACTTCATTTGTTGTGTATCAAATACAACCAATGGCTGCCTTTGGGTAATCTATATTGTGGATATTTTTTAATTTTTTTGGCAATAGGGTCTCTCTCTGTTGTTCAGGCTACAGTGCAGTGGCATGATCATGACTCACTGTAGCCTCAGCCTCTTGGGCTCAGGTGATCCTGCCACCTCAATGTCCCAGGTAGCTGGGACTATAGGTGTGTGCCAGCACATCCAGCTAGTTTTTTGTATTTTTTAAAAGAGACAAGGTTTTGCCATGTTGCCCAGGCTGGTCTTGAACTACTGAGCTCAAGTGATCCTCCTACCTTGGCCTCCCAAAGTGCTAGAATTACAGTCATGAGTCACTGCACCTGGTCCTTTCTTTCTTTCTTTTTTTGTTAAAAAACTAAGTATAACCTGGGTTAGAAAAGTTGTTCATCACTCAAGTAATTTAAGAAAGATTTCACTGGGTATAAAATAAGATAAACTGTTATGCCTATAATCCCAGCACTTTGGGAGGCCGAGGCAGGTGGATCACGAGGTCAAGAGATTGAGACCATCCTGGTCAACATGGTGAAACCCCGTCTCTACTAAAAATACAAAAAATTAGCTGGGCACGGTGGTGTGTGCCTGTAATCCCAGCTACTCGGGAGGCTGAGGCAGGAGAATTGCCTGAACCCAGGAGGCAGAGGTTGCGGTGAGCCGAGATCGTGCCATTGCACTCCAGCCTGGGTAACAAGAGCAAAACTCCGTCTCAAAAAAAAAAAAAAAAAAGATAAACCGTTATGTTTATGCATATTGTAAAATATCTTATTACCTAAGTAATTCATATTCACCGTAGGAAATGTAGGTACCGTCACTTATTCATGAATGACTTCTTTCCCCCACATTGGAGTTGCTTAGTAAATTGCACTGCTTGAGTCTCGTTTCATATTGTCCTTGGTGTGTTCTCTGCATCTCCGTATTGGCCCCTCTGGTCCCTTTGCAGATGGTGTTCAGTGTGCTGAGTGCCTATTGCCACATGCTAAGTGCCCCTTTTAGTGCTTGTGTCCTGGGGCTGTCCTGAGGGACAGGAAATGTACAGAAGTTGGGGCCTGATGGTGGGAAGATCATGGAAGTGCCTGTCTGTCCTTGAGGGGAAGAGGATGAGAGGCAAGGTCACCAGGGAACTAGAACAGCCACCAAAAACCACATGGTGAATGGTGTGGGAAGGACACTGAGGACTGGATTAATGCAGAGATGGCAGCTCAGGTCTATAGGGCTCAACTCACCCTCGGCAGCCCAGACAAGTGGCTCAACAATCAGGCTGGGAGCCATGGATCAAGGTGTACAAGCCAGGTTGGTTCCCACATGCTCAGAGCCTGGTAGGTCTGGAAGCCACCAAGATGGCATGAGCTTGAAGTTGCCTGTCTAGTCCAGAGTTCTATGGGTAAAAGGCAGCAGGTATCATCACCTGCATCTGGATAGCCTGGAGCAGATACATGCAAATGGGTGGCCCATGTAGGCACATGGTTTTTATCTGGCTCACAGAATGTTTTTGTTTGTTTTGTTTGTTTGTTTTGGCAGAGTGGGGAGATCTGTTTTTTATTTTTTGTTTTTTGAGATGGGGTCTCACTCTGTTGCTCAGGCTGGAGTACAATTGGCGCCATCTTGGCTTGCTGCAACCTCCATTGCCTGGGCTCAAGTGATTCTCCTACCTTAGCCTCCTGAGAAGCTGGGACTACAGGCATGTGCCATCATGCCCAGCTAATTTTTATATCTTCGGTAGAGACGGGTTTTACCATGTTGCCCAGGCTGGTCTCAAACTTCTAGACTCAAGTGATCTACTCACCTCAGCCTCCTAAAGTGCTGGGATTACAAGCGTGAGCCACTGCACCTGGCCCACACAGAAAGCTTTTTTAAAATTATGATTGTGTGGCTGGGCCAGGTGGCTTATGCCTGTAATCCCAGCACTTTGGAAGGCCGAGACAGGTAGATCATGAGGTTGGGAGTTCGAGACCAGCCTGGCCAACATGGCAAAAGCCTGTCTCTACTAAAAATACAAAAATTAGCCGGGTGTTGTGGCACACATCTGTAATCCCAGCTACTTAGGAGTCTGAGGCAGGAGAATCACTTGAGCACAAGAGTTTCAGACTGCAGTGAGTCATGATTGCACCATTGACTGCAACCTGGAGAGAACCTGTCTCTAAATAAATAAATTTTTAAAATAAAATTATGAATGTGAATATATTTCATCAATTCTAAACCACATTTTTTTCACATTTGAATATTTCTGAAATCAAGATGCATCTTTTATTTTTATTTATTTAAAAAAGACGGGGTTTCACGATGTTGGTCAGGCTGGTCTTGAACTCCTGACCTCAGGTGATCTGCCCACCTTGGCCTCCAAAGTGCTTGGATTACAGGCGTAAGCCACTGCACTCGGCCCAAGATGCATCTTAAAAATCACTGGCAGAGCTAAACACCGTGGCTCATGACTATAATCCCAGCACTTTGGGAGGCCAAGGTGGGCGGATTGCTTGAGCCCAGGAGTTCAAGACCAGGTGGGGCAACATAGCAAGACCCTATCTCTATTAAAAAAAAATCACTAGCAACTTACTTATACCTGGCAGGGAATTTTTTTACATAGTAGCACATAAAATAATGTCATATCTCACAGCAATGGCATTTTCATTCATGGAATACAAGAGCTACCAAACTTTATTATACTCAGGAAGTTTACCTGAAAACCTGGCTTTTCAGGGGGAATTGACAGACCTTTAAGAGTGGGCAGGCATTCCTACAGCAGCTTTTGGGGCTGGTGGGTGGTGATTGCCCCTTTAGTTGGAATAGGAACCTTCCAGCCAGCTCCATTCCCCACCTGGCCCACTCCAGATTAAGTGGAAAGTCTCCGAGCAGAATTCACCTTCCCTGAAGCATGAATTCTCCCTCCCCAGAGTCTCATGGGTTTATGATCACTGATTTCCTTTCTGCACAGATGCCTCTGGAGAGGTGGTACCCTCTGGGGAATCAGGTGAGTGTCCAGTTAGGGGAGAGAGGGCTTTGGTGCTCGTGTTGAGTCGGGTCTAGGCATCACGTCTCCCCCAAGAAAGCCAGCTCCTGTTGGGGTACCTGGCTGTGAGCAACAGAAGCCCAAGGTCCACTGAGCGTAGGCTCGTCAAGCAGCCTGGAAAAGCTGCCTCATGAAGGAGGGAGCCTGGGGAGCCTGGAAAGGTGTCCCAGCAAAACGCAAGGAGATTACAACCAGTCACCAATAGAGAGAAGGATCCCTTGGGGGCTGCAGAATTCCATGGGGATATATTTTTAGATCAGCTATAGCCTTCCCCAGAGTAGAGGCACCTGTTAAGTACCCCAAGCTGGACTGGGCACTAATGTTGAGTTTCTTGTTTCCAGGACTCCGAAGGAGAGGCTCTGACCCACCAAGTGGTAAATATACAAGCCCAAATAGGAGAGCCAGAGCAGGTCTGGATTCCAGACGATGGGTTGGGACCTTAGCCTGAGAGGGTGGGTTATTCCCAGCAGGAATGCTGTCACCAGCCAGTGTCACTATGATTCAGAAGGGGGATCTCCAGTGCAGGGGAAATGGAATGGAAGACAGACTCAGGCCTGAGGAAGGAGGAGGGGGCCAGTGGGGGTTCCAAGGACAGCACCCCCATCTTCACGGTTTGGCTTGACGGATCCTGCGGTGAGTGCCCTCTGACCCAGGAAGAAATACCCAGGATATTAATTCTCAATGAGGCAGGGAAGAGGAAATCCCACCTGCCATCCTGCATCAAAGTTAAACACTCATCTCTCTCTTGTTCCTAAGGAGAAGTGGAGGCCTCTCAGTTAAGAAGACTGAATATAAAGAAAGATGGTAAGGAACTTGGCGTTGCATTGCTGCTTTTTCCTGTGTGGCTAGATTTCCAGGGTTGAAATGTGGCTGGTGGCCTAGCACAGCAGTAATCATAGCCCACCTCTGTCACGTGCCTTGCAGTTTACACATTACTCAGCTCAGAATCACCTCCAGAGGGTGGGACAATCATTCCCATTTTGCAGATATGAAAACTGAGGTTCAGGTTTGGGGAGTGGCCTTACATCTTGTGAGTGGCGTGGCCTGAGCTTGAGGCCTGGTCCTCTGCTCTTTCTCCTATGCATAGTCACTTGAGGCTTGGTCCTCTGCTCTTTCTCCTATGCATAGTCACTAGGATGGTAAATGGCTTCCAGGCCTTGTGGCCAGGATGGGGAGCTACAGGTCAGCTGAGCTCCTTTCTGGGAAAGGAGCAGTGAAAAGCAGGAGGGACCTCCCTGTTCCAGGTCTGGAATCCATGGGGACTTCCAGGAGGAAGTGGCGGTGGGTGGGGGGGCAAAGGAAAGACTGGTACTTGAGACAGAGGCTTTTCGTAATTAAAAAATAGAAAAAAAAAGGCGGGAGAGGGGCAAGACATGGTGGCTCACAGCTGTAATCCCAATATTTTGGGAAGCTGAGATGAGAGGATTACTTGAGGCCAGGAGTTTGGGCAATATAGTGAGACCTTGTCTCTATTAAAAATTTAAAAACTTAGCTGGGTGTGATGGCATGCACCTGTAGGCCTCCCTAATTGTGAGGCTGAAGCAGGAGAATTGCTTCAGCTCAGGACTTCAAGGCTGCAATTAGCTGTGATCCCACAACTGCACTCCAATCCAGGGTGACAGAGCAAGACCTTGTCTCCCCTGCCAAAAAAAAGAGAGAGAAAGCAGCAGATAGTGATTCCCCACCCCTGCCTTCACAGATGAGTTTTTCCATTTCGTCCTCCTGTGCTTTGCCATCGGGGCCATGCTGGTGTGTTATCACTTTTACACAGGTGAGGGGAGGCACCCTGGGGAATATGTGGCGGCGGGGGGTGTCAAATGGGGGGGTAGGGGCAAGGGCATCATGACCTGGAGGCTGACCATTCCCTCCCTCACTGCCCTTCCAGACTGGTTCATGTCTCTTGGGGTTGGCCTGCTCACCTTCGCCTCCCTAGAAACCGTTGGCATCTACTTCGGACTAGGTAAGTCCCTCTCCAGTGTGCGCGCGCACACGCGCGCACACACACACACACACACACACACACACAGTCTCTTGGAGAGGTGGTGGGTAGAAATATTCACTTTCATACTCATTTGAGTATGGACCAGAGAGTCACAATCTAGACTTTTCAAAAAAATTTTCCAGCTGGGTGCAGTGGCTCACGCCTGTAATCCCAGCACTTTGGGAAGCCAAGGCGGGTGGATCACAAGGTCAAGAGATTAAGACCATCCTGGCTAACATGGTGAAACCATGTCTCTACTAAAAATATAAAATAAATTAGCTGGGCATGGTAGCAGGCACCTGTAGTCCCAGCTACTCAGGCTGAGGCAGGAGAATCACTTGAACCCGGGAGGCAGAGGTTGCAGTGAACCGACATTGTGCCATGCACTCCAACCTGAACCAGAGTGAGACTATGTCTCAAAAAAAAAATTTTTTTTTTCCTTATGCTTATGTTTTCTTCCTGACCACTTTCAAGGTCAATGTGAGGTCACTGGGAAAACCCTGTAGGAATAATGGGCAGCTCCATACAATGCAACAGTAACAATGGCAAACAGGCCGGGCCCAGGGTACACATCTGTAATTCCAGCTAATCAGGAGATTGGGGCAAGAGGATCGCTTGAGCCCGGGAGTTTGTCCAGCCCGGGCAACATAGTAAGACTCTGCCTATAAAATAAATATATAAAAGTGGCAAGCAAAATAGAACTAGCCAGATACTAAAAACAAGTTAGTTCATGGAGTTGGGAACTGAATTTGGCAAGTGAGTTTCCTGCCACTGTTCCTGCTGTTCACGGTTGTTGTTTTTAGTAATAATAACTCTAGTGTCATTATCTAAGCTTAACCTGCTGCCTGGAATTCCACCATCAGAGCTTTGTTTGCGTGAGTTAGCTGTTGTCCAGTGGTGGCCGGGTATCCCTTGTGGGGACACAAACTTAACTCACTTTTTTCTTTGCTTCTGAGCAGTGTACCGTATCCACAGCGTCCTGCAAGGCTTCATCCCCCTCTTCCAGAAGTTCGGGCTGACAGGTAACTTTTAAAGTTTTCCTGTGTTCACTTTTTTTCTCCCTAGCACGGTCTTCATTTAGAAAGAGGCTTAGCATACAGAGAAAAACACAGCCTAGAGGCAGAGGACCCTGGTTTGAGTCCTACCTCTGCCGATTTACTAGTTCTGTGACCCCGGATGAGCCGTGTAGCCTCAGTTTCCTCCCTTTGGAAAATGGGTGTAATACTTTCCTGCTGCACGAGGGTGCAGTTTTTTTCAATGATGTTTCAGGGCGTTGTGAAGATCAAGTGGGGAATGGATGCAAAGGCCTGAAGTGTGAAACTAGAAAAATGAGAGGGGTCTGGTTAGTCTTCATTCTCTTATAGAACTTGCCACTTCCCCAAACTCGATCCTCTCCATGGCTGTACTTGCCTAATAGCAACTGGGCAGGTAGGCTTTAGCAATCTTACACTTGACCAATAGGAAACTGAGGCTCAGAGAGGTGGATTGACTCGCCCACAGTTACACAGCTTGCGTGGCTTGGCTGGGCGAAAGCACGTTGTCTTTTTTGACTGACAGCTCTGTGCCCACCTTATGCCTCCGAATGGAGATGCCAAGTGGCTGTGTGGCTGTGCTGGGAAATATCTGTCTCCTTTAATCCATGTAATGAAGAAAAAGAAAAGTAGCTGCTATGACTGTGGGTCATTGAGACCCATGGCTTCTGGGGTGACGACATCATGCCAGCTGTGAGGGGTACTTGGGCATCTGAGGTGACGGTGGGGATGAAGTCTGACTGCTTTCAGAATCCCATCCCATCCTGTGGCCTTTGCCTTCCAGGATTCAGGAAGACTGACTGAGGCCACTGCCAGGTGGGCAGCAGAGGCAGGCCCCAGTATGACCAACAATGCGACCCCTGAGCCCACAAGCACAGAGCAGCATTCCGAAAGACGTGCAGGAGACCAAACCAGACCAATAAAGAGAACACTTTTCCTTCCATGAAGTCTGAATGGTGGCACCAGCCCTGGCAGGGGCATCATTTGGGCAGTACTGCTGTGCAACCCAGCTGCCAGGATGGAAGGCAGAGAGTGGGTGTGGGGCCTGAGCCTTCACAGTACCCGGACCAGCAGGAGGATTCTGGAAGGTCACTGCTCTCAGAGGACAGCAGGAGACTCTGGGCTCTGCAAACTGTGATTAATCTGTTTGGGCTCTTTTTTTTTTTTGAGATGGCGTCACCAGGCTGGGATGCAGTGGCATGATATTTATTCACTGCAACCTCTGCCTCCCGGATTCAAGCGATTCTCCTGCCTCAGCATCTTGAGACTATAGGCATGCACCACCACACCTGGCTAATTTTTGTATTTTTAGTAGAGATGGGGTTTCACCATGTCGGCAGGATGATCTTGATCTCTTGACCTCATGATCCACCCGCCTAAGCCTCCCATAGTGCTGGGATTACAGGCATGAGCCACTGCACCCAGTCCTGGGCTCATGGTTTGTCTGAAATCCCAGACGATATGGGTATGCTCTCAGGTGCTGCAGAGCCATCCGGGAGAGACAAATAGTCCATTGCCCTGAGGCAGGGAGCCACCAGGCTGGGGCCCTCTGGTGAACCTGATGCAGGTAAGATGCCAGGGACTAAAACCATTTTATTTTGCACCCAATAAAAAGGCAGGAAAATGTTCATCATAAACAAAATGGCAGCCAGGCTTGGGGGCTCACACCTGTTATCCTAGCACTTTGGAAGGCTCAGGCAAACAGTCACTTGAAGCTAAGAGTTCAAGACCAGCCTGGGCAACATAGTGAGACCCCCCCCCTCCAGTCTTTACAATTTATTTTTAATGACCAGATGTGGTGGCACATACTGGTACATACCTGTAGTTCCAGCTACGCAAGAGGCTGAGGCAGGAGGACTGCTTGAGCCCAGGAGTTCAGGGCTGCAGTGAGGTATGATCAAGCCACTGCACTCCAGCCTGGGCGACAGAGCAAGACCCTTTCTCTCTAAAATAATTTTTTTTAAAAAGGGCCAGACGTGGTGGCTCACGCCTGTAATCCCAGCGTTGTGGGAAGCTGAGGTGGGCAGATCACCTGAGGTCAGGAGTTCAAGAACAGTCTGACCAACATGGAGAACCCTCATCTCTACTAAAAATACGAAATAGCTAGGTGTGGTGGTACATGCCTATAATCCCAGCTACTCCAAAGGCTGAGGCAGGAGAATCACTTGAACTTGGGAGGCGGAGGTTGTGGTGAGCCAAGATTGCACCATTGCACTCCAGCCTGGGCAACAGGAGTGAAACTCCATCTCAAAAAAAAATAAAAATTGACAAATAAAAATTGTATATACTTATAGTGTACATGTTTTGAAATATGTGAAATGGCTAAATCAAGCTAATTAACATATGTATCACCTCACATACCTTTGGTATGATGTATTGTATACTTATAATGTGTTATATACTTGCAAGTATAAAAGCCCACTTGTTTTTACTGTTTTGCAAGTATACAATACATTGTTATTAACTATGGTCACCATGCTATATGATAGATCTCCTGAACTTGGACTGAGTTCTTGATGGTCACAGCCATGCTGTCCTCAAAACTCAGAAAGGTAACTTCTGAGGTTTTGATTTCAAGTTCTTGTGTGTAACCTACTTTGAAGGGAGCCCAGAGTACACAGATCAAATATTTATTAAATATATAAATAAAACCGTTTTCACGATAGAAGTATGAACTTGCTGACTTGAGAGCAATGTGGTTAGCCTCATTTTATGGGAATGATGGGTCCCTGTGGCCAGATCTGCCACTGCCTGGCTGTAACTTTTTTTTTTTTTTTGACACAGAGTTTTGCTCTTGTTACCCAGGCTGGAGTGCAATGGCATGATCTCGGCTCACCGCAACCTCCGCCCCCTGGATTCAGGCAATTCTCCTGCCTCAGCCTCCCAAGTAGCTGGGATTACAGGCATGCGCCACAATGCCCAGCTAATTTTTTGTATTTTTAGTAGAGACTGGGTTTCACCATGTTGACCAGGATGGCCTCAATCTCTTGACCTTGTGATCCACCTGCCTAGGCCTCCCAAAGTGCTGGGATTACAGGCTTAAGCCACCGTGCCTGGCTTTTTATTTTTATTTTCTTAAAGAGTTTTCCTGTTTTGCCCAGGCTGGAGTGAGGTGGTGAGATCTTGGCTCACTGCAACCTCCACCTCCCATGTTCAACTGATTCTCCTGCCTCAGCCTCCTAAGTAGCTGGAACTATAGGTGCCCACCACCATGCCTGGCTAATTTTTGTATTTTCAGTAGAGACAGGTTTTCACTATGTTGATCAGGCTGGTTTCAAACTCCTAACCTCAGGTGATCCACCCACCTCGGCCTCCCAAAGTGCTGGTATTACAGGCTTGAGCCACTGTGCCCAGCCCTGACTGTGATTTTGCTCAAGTCCTCCCCTTTCCCAGGCTCAGTATCCTCATCTGTGCAATGGGGAGCCTAACAGTGCCCACCTCAAAGTGTTACGTTGAGAATTACATGAGATTAAATAAAGTCTTATGCACAGACTCTGGCACATAGGTGATGCTCAATCAATGGGCATTATTACACTGGACAAGAGCACAAATCAGATCCCCTTAGGGTCAGGCGGGCAGAGCCAGCAAGATGTAAAAAAAATAGGGGCTGGGTGCAGTGGCTCACACCTGTAATCCCAGCACTTTGGAAGGCCAAGGTGGTGGATTGCTTGAGCTCAGGAGCTTGAGACCAGCCTGGGCAACATGGCAAAACCTTGTCTCTACCAAAAATACAAAAATTATCTGGGTATGGTGGCAGGTACTTGTGAATATGTGAACTAGCTGCTTGGGAGGCTGGAGTGGGAGGATCGCTGGAGCCCAGGAAGTCAAGACTTCAGTGAACCATGATCATGCCACTGCACTCCAGCCGGGGTGACAGAGCAAGACCCTATATCAAAAAAATAAAAATGAAAAACGTGGGGAGTAGGAAGAGGGGAACAGAAGAGCGAATGCCTGAGCATGCCAGTGAGCAGCTGCTGTCTAGCAATTCCAGGTGAGAACACAGCTGAGTGGGATCAGTCAGCCAAGAGAACAAAAACCACACCAGGTGCTTTAATAGAGAGAACTTAGTAGAGGAGACATGTTAATTAGCCAGCTGCAGGAGGACTGGAAAAGCAGAAAGGAACCGTGGTATCACAAAGCATAGCTGAGGGAACTGCCTAGGACTGGAGGGAAAAAGGAAAGGTTGATGCTATTAGAAGTGAAAAGATTGGCCAGGCATGGTGGCTCACGCCTGCAATCCCATCACTTTGGGAGGCCGAGGTGGCTGGATCACGAGGTCAGGAGATCAAGACCATCTGGGCCAACATGGTGAAACCCTGTCTCTACCACAAATACAAAAAAAATTAGCTGGGCATGGTGGCGCACCATGTGGTCCCAGTTACTTGGGAGGCTGAGGCAGGAGAATTGCTTGAACCCAAGAGGCAGAGATTGCGGTGAGCCAAGATTGTGCCACTGCACTACAGCCTGGGTAAGAGTGCAAGACTCTGTCTCAAATCACACACACACACACGCACACACGAAGTGAGAGGATTGAGAGCATGTCCTCCAGAGCTAGGACCCAGACCTCTGGGGAAAGGGCACTGCTCAGCTGGGAGGGGTCTCTGAGGGGCCTGAAGAGGCTGGTTCTGCAAGTGTAAGACCAGTGGGGTCAGACCTCCAATTTCTTAGCAGAAGCCCCAAATCTAGGGGCAACTATTTTTTTTCTTTTCATTTCAACTTCTGCTATGGAAAACAGTATAGGGACTTCTCAAAGAACTAAAAATAGACTTACCATATGATCCAGTAGTTCTACTTCTGCATATATGCCCACAAGGGACTTGAAGGGATAACTGTACACCCATTTTCACAGCAGCATTATTTCCAGTAGCCAAAAAGGGAAAGCTCAAGTGTCCATCAATGGGTGAGTGAATAAACAAAGCATGGTGTATCATCAGCTTTTAAAAAAGGAAATTATGGCCGGGCGTGGCGGCTCATGCCTGTAATCCAAGCACTTTGGAGGCCAAGGCAGGCAGATCATCTGAGGTTGGGAGTTCAAGACCAGCCTGACCAACATGGTGAAACCTGGTCTTTAAAAAAAAAAAGGAAATTATTTGAGACTTCGCAAAAAAAATAAAAACCAAAGGGGGGAACAAAGGAAATTCTGGCAAGGCATGGTGGCTCATGCCTGTAATCTCAGCACTTGGGGAGGCTGAGGTGGGAGGATCACTTGAGCCCAGGAAGTGGAGGCTCTAGTGAGCCGTGTTTATGCCACTGCACTCCAGTCTGGATGGCAGAATAAGACTGTCTCTAAAATAAAAATAAAAAAAGGAAAATCTGACACTTACTACCACACAGATAAACTTTGAGAACATTATGTTAAAAGGACAAATAGAGTTATGAGTCCACATATATGAGGTACCTAGAGTAGTCAGATTCATAGAGACAGCAAGTGGAATGGTGGATGGATGCCAGAGGCTGTGGGATGGGGAATGAGAATTAGTGTTTACTGGGGACAGAGTGTTAGTTGGGAAGTTGAAAAGAGCCCTAGAGATGGATGGTTGTGATAATTGCACAACGTGAAAGTATTTAACACCACTAAACTGTACACTTAAAAATGGTTATGGGGGGCTGGACGTGGTGGCTCATGCCTGTAATCCAAACACTTTAGGAGGCCAAGGCAGGCGTATCGCCTGAGGTCAGGAGTTCAAGACCAGCCTGACCAATGTGATGAAACCCCATCTCTACTAAAAATACAAAAATTAGCCAGGTGTGGTGGCACATGCCTGTAATCCCAGCTACTCAGGAGGCTAAGACAGGAGAATCACTTGAACCCGGGAGGCAGAGGTTGCAGTGAGCTGAGATCATGCCATTGCACTCCAGCCTGGGCAACAAGAGCAAGAGTCCATCTCAAAAAATAAAATAAAATAAAATTTATGGTGGTAAATTTGAGCCTGGGAGGCAG